TGGAAATTCAGACTAAATAAAGATTTAAAATCCACTGCATTTAAAGAGAAACAGTCCTTCAAATAATCCCTTAGGTCTTAGATCCTATCTTCTACCATGTCCCTCTGTTTTAAATCACGTTCAGGTTTATTTCTCATACAGCATAAAGTTGGATAGGTAGTGACAGCAAGAAGATTTAACAATCATACATCTTTATGCACCTAACAACAGACCATTAAAATATATGAAGCAAAAACTGACAGAACTGAAGAGAGAAATAGATAGTTCTATGATAATAGTTGAAGATATCAATGGCCCACTCTCAATAATGGATAGAACAACCAGACAGGAGATAAATGAGGAAATGGAAGACTTGAACAACACAGTAAATCAACGAGATCTAACAGACATACACAGAACACCCTACCCAACAACGGCACTCACATTCTCCAGTACACATGGGACATTTTCTAGGATCAACCATATGTGAGGCCATAAACTACATGTCAGTAGATTTTTAAAAATAGATATCATACAAAGAATTTTCTCCACCCATTACAGGAGGAAGTTAGAAATCAGTCACAGAGGTAAAACCAGAAAATTCACAAATTTGTGGAAACTAAACAACACACTCTTATACAACCAGTGGATCAAAGAAGGAATTAGAAAATACTCAAAGATGAATGACAACAAAAATGCAACATACTAAACATGGGATGCACAAAAGCAGTGCTAAGGGAGAGATTTATAGCTGTAAAGGCTCACGTTAAAAAATGAGAAAGATCTCAAATAAAAAGCTTAACCTCACAATTTAGGGAATTAAAAAAAAGAACAAAATAAACCAAAAGCTACCAGGAGGAAGGGAATAGTGAAGATTAGAGCACAGATTAGAGAATAGGGGGAAAAAAATAGAGACAATCAGTGAGACCAAAACTTGTTTCTTCAAAAGATCAACAAAACTGACAAAATTTGACTTAGATGGACTAAAAAACAAAACAAAACAAAAACAGAAAGAAAATGAAATTACCAAAATTGGAAATGAAATTGGAAGCATTACTACTGACTCCATAAGATCAGAAAGATTTACAAGACACTGCTGTGAATAGCTGTAGACCAACAAACTGGGTAATGTAGGTGAAATGGGCAAATTCCTAGACCCTAGCAAGACTGAATCAAGAAAAAGAAAGTCTTGGGGTCCCTGGGTGCCTCAGTTGGTTATCAACTCTTGATTTTGGCTCAGGTCATGATCTCAGGGCTGTGAGGTCGAGCCCCACGTTGGGCTCTGCATTCAGCATAAAGTCTGCTTGAGATTCTCTCTCTGCCTCTCCCTCTGTCCCTCCCCCCAACTCACATGCTCTTTCTCTCTCTGAAGAAGAAGAAGAGGAGGATGAGGAGGAGAAAGTCTGAACAGATCGCTTCCCAGATTAATTCTAGCAAACATTTAAAGAAAAATGAATACCAATCTTTCCTATATTCTTCCAAAAACCAGAGAAAGAAGCAACATTTCCAGACTCCTTGTATGAGGCCAGTATCATCCTGATACCAAAGCCAGACAAAACACTGCAAGAAAAGAAAACTACAGTCTACTATCCCTTATGAACATTGATGCAAAAAAAAAAAAAAATCCTCAACAAAATACTAATAAACTGAATTCAGCAAAACAGCAAAAGGATTACACACCATGGCCAAGGGGGCTTTATTCTTGGGATGCACAGATGTTTCAATGGAAAAAACTGATCATTGGAACACACTCCATTAATAGAATAAAGAAGAAAAAAATCATTTCAGTTGATGCAGGAAAAGCATTTGGCAAAATCCAACACTCTTTCATGGTCAAAAACACTCAACAAACTAGGAATAGAAGCAAACTACCTCAACATAGTAAAAGCCATGCATGAAAAAGCCACATCGGGTGCCTGGGTGGCTCAGTTGGTTGAGCGACTGCCTTCGGCTCAGGTCTTGATCCTGGAGTCCCGGGATCGGGTCCCACATCGGGCTCCCTGCTCAGCAGGGAGTCTGCTTCTCCCTCTGACCCTCTTCCCTCTCGTGCTCTCTATCTCTCATTCT